AGTGATTGAATGATAATGACACAGGATGAGAATGACAAAAATTATTTATGTTTGTATGATGGTATATTAATGTGTATGTTAATGACATATTTTTGTTTGAATGATATGATGATATGGTTGTATTTTTGGTCAAATGACTAATTTACTCCTACATATTATATGTAATAGTAAATGGTATATAAGAAATATGTAAAGAAAAAAAAATTATTTACCAATATAATTACATTTGTATTTAAATAAATAATTATTACACATAATTAAATTAATTTTTATATTTAATAAAATAAATAATAATAATTTATATTATCATATTAATTTAATTTTAATAAAAATAAATTATTTATATATTAGAAACAAATAGTTGTAATTATATATTATTATATTAAATCTAAAATTATTTTAACAAATAAAAAATTAAAATATGCTTGAAATAATCACATACTATAAGTTAATTTATTAATTAATATTGTTTAAAAAATTAACCATCAATAAAATTCTATGTGCGTAATCATTTTTTTTTATTAGTTTCAAACTTCTAAATTCATTTTTTTAACAAAAATGTATAGCATATATGTACATATGTAGATATCTTATATTCATATTCAATAATAGAAAAATATTTATATTTTATTACCAAATTATTTGAGAATTAAACAAATACCATAATAAACCAAAACTGCTTCAAAAATGTAAATAGTAAAAAATATTGTCCACAAACAAGTAAAGAAAGATAGAAGAAATTAGTTTATTTAACATAAATTAATCAATCCAAAATAACAAATTAGCCCATTAAAATAATAAGATTCATCTATTAAACATCCAATATCAGTTTGATAAAGGTTCTTAAAACCATAATATAATCTTGCTTTTCAGCAATAACAACCTCCATTTTCAATTATCTGAAAATTCGAATAAAGAAAATAATCAAAACCAGCAAAATAACAAATAAAAAATATTCGAACTTAAAATATAATATTAGTCATTACCTGGTAAATTAAGCAAATTGGTCATGAAAAAATTACACCGATCAGGAGAACAAGTCATTAAAGCTTTACCCATGTTTGGTTTATCCATAAGTAGCATAACAGTTTTTGTTCTAGAAGGGGATCTAATCCCATATGAGAAACTTCTTGATATAACTCTTATGCTGAAACATGCGCTTTTGAAATTGTTAGTATTTGCTTCATTGAATTTGAAATAGTTCGAACTTCATCCATATATTTTTCTTCATAGACCGTTGTCCAATGTCTCACTTTTTTCTGCATGAAAGACTCTTGCACCTCATGTTCAAATTTTGAAGTAAGAGTTTCGGGCGTTGGAGCCTTATATGAACTATCCAAACTATAAAAATTAAAATTACCACTTAAATCTTCGGTAGTGTCCCACTTGTAGCATCAAGACCATGTTCATCACCACTCCTCTTTCTTTATTTTCAAGGGTTTAGGGATGTCTCACTTGTAGACCCACTAACTCTATCCCTTCCATATATTTTTAAAATTTTCTTGTAAATTCGCATGCATTTGTTTCTTAGTTCCGCTGCATCAAAATGAGCCTAGAATGAATAACTATATTAATATTTGAACAGTATAAAAAATGACAAATAACATATAATAAAGTATGAGATTTACCTTTATTAGTTGCTCCCAAACTTCTTTTTCTGCTTTGAATTGTTCAATTGTTGGATTCCAAGCAAAACCACTCATTCCACGTTTGAAAATATCATAATATTTTGAGAATTGTCTTTTTATATTTTTTACACGGTTGTGTATTCGCTCTTTATCAATGTTTAGATCTAGAAATGCATTTGTCAGTTCTTTAAGTGCACAATCAATGGCGTGCGATGTGAATGTCCAACTCGATCTATGACAAAACAAATGTTGATCGTAAAATGAGTTTATTAGGATGTCATCCATATGATCTAACCAGTGGATCATTTAACTTCCTATA